AACTCCGCGCTGCGTCCTTCCCAGCGCCTCGCTCGCTCGTCGTCGCTCCGCCCAGCGGCCAGAGCCTTGCCCGCTATCAGCCAGCCACCTAGCTCTCTTTGCTCCGCGCAGCGGACGACCCGCGCGCGTCGCTGGGACCCCTCCAGGGCGACCTGCGCGCGTCGCGGGGACTCCGCGCTGCGCTGCGCTCGCAGCGTTGGACTTTGGAGCGCGCGGGCAAAGAGGGAGAAAAACAAGGGAAGGAAGCGGGCGCGGTCCTCGTGGGGGGCGTGCCGACGTGGGAATCGCGCAGGCGCTGCCGTCGGGGCCCCCGGGGAAGCCCCCTGCGGCGGCCACGCTCGGTGTCGCGAGTGCTCAGAGTCAGGCGTGCCCGAACCGTTCGCATTCATACGCATGTACACTGAGCGTAGCCACGCTCGCACTCACTCAGAATTTACTCGCTCGCACGCATATTCATCCACATTCGGACTCACTCGAAGAACCCACTCGCCCGCGCTCAGTCTCTCGTACTTAGACGTATCGTGTTCGTTGGTGTTGTGCCCCCCGCCACACAATTCGGCACGCCCCTCGTGCGGTTCGTGGCCCCGTAGGGAACGCCACCGAAGAAATTCACAATTGCGGTGCGTACGCTGCATATGTTTGGGCCCCTCGCCAGGCTACTTGTCGCGTTTTCGGGGGAATCCTGGGAGGCCCAGCGGAGGTGCGCCTTACGCAGATCACCGCGAGAACTCGCCGTCTCCTTGGGGGCCGCGATCTGCAAAACTGTAGCCATTGTTGTGGGCTCCTGGTTGCCCCATCGGAGGCACGTCTTACGCAGATCACCATGAGACCTCGCCGTCCCCTTGGGGGGGCTGCGATTTGCGAGACCGTCGCCACTTTCGTGGGCTCCCGGGGGCCCCAGCGGAGGTGCGTCTTACGCAGATCACCATGATATCTCGCCGTCCCCTTGGGGGCTACGATATGCGAGACCGTGGTCTTCTGGGACATCCAGCGGAGGTGCGTTTTACGCATATCACCATGAGACCTCGTCGTCCCCTGAAAAGGCCACGATCTGCGAAACCAGGGCTTGACCTAAACGGTGTTTTCCTATGTGTTCCCATATGTTTCCGTTTTATTTTTGTTTTTCGTTGTGAGCGCGTTTCAAAACACGTTTTCACATGCTCTGAACGCCGGCCGTCGCGCCCATGCGTTTTGGCCGTCGGGCTGCCGTTTTGTTGGTCGTTTTGTTTTGGCACAGGCGCGTGCCGCACGTTTTGTTGGGCGTTTTGTTTTTTTCGTGGGCAGGCGCCGTTTGTTTTGTTGGCGTTTTGTTTTGCTGGGGGGTCATCCCCCCAGCACCAGCACCCTGCGCAATCCCGAAGCACCAGCCCCATTCAGCACAAACCCCCAGCACAACCCCCCAGCACAGCCTTGGAAATCCTCCAGCACGGGCTTCCAGCACAACCCTCCCCAGCACAACCCCCCAGCACAACCCTCCCCAACACAACCCTCCAGCACAACCCCCCAGCACAACCCCCCAGCACAACCCCCCAGCACAGCCCTCTAGTTCCAGCCCAACCTCCAGCACACCTTCCAGCCCAACCTCCAGCACACCCTCTGGCACAACCTCCAGCGCAACCTCCCGCACAACCTCCAACACAACCTCCAGCACAAGCTCGAGCACAACCTCCAGCACGACCTCCAGCACGATCTCCAGCAAAACCTCCAGCACAACCTCCAGCACAACCTCCAGCACAACCTCCAGCGCAACCCCCAGGCACAACCTCCAGCCAAACCTCCATCATATCTCCAAGCACAACCCCCAGCACAAACCCCCAGCACACCCCCAGCTCAGCCCTAGCTCCAGCCCAAACATCAGCACACCTGACAGCCCAACCTCAGCACAATCACAAACCCTCCACACGACCTCCAGCACGATCTCAGCACAACCTCCAGGCCACAACCTCCAGCACAACCCAGCACATACCTTGGCACACCAACCTCCAGCACAACCTGTAGCACAACTACAGCACAAACCTCAGCACAGCTCCAGCACGACCTCAGCACGATCTCCAGCAACACACAACTTCCAGCCCAACCTCCAGCACACCCTCTGGCACAACCTCCAGCGCAACCTCCCGCACAACCTCCAACACAACCTCCAGCACAAGCTCGAGCACAACCTCCAGCACGACCTCCAGCACGATCTCCAGCAAAACCTCCAGCACAACCTCCAGCACAACCTCCAGCACAGCCTCCCGCACAACCTCCAGCACAAGCACAACCTCCAGCACAACCTCCAGCACAACCTCCTGCACAATCACAACCTCCGGCACAACCTCCAGCACATCCTCCAGCAAAACCTCCAGCAAAACCTCCCGCACAACCTCCAGCACAACCTCCAGCACAACCTCTAGCACAACCGCCAGCACAACCTCCAGCACAACCTCCATCACAACCTCCAGCACAACCTCCAGCACAGCCTCCAGCACAACCTCCAGCACAACCTCCAGCACAACCTCCCGCACAACCTCCAGCACAACCTCCAGCACAACCTCCAGCACAACCTCCAGCACAACCTCTAGCACAACCTCCCGCACAACCTCCAGCACAATCTCCAGCATAACCTCCAGCACAACCGCCAGCACAACCTCCAGCACAACCTCCCGCACAACCTCCAGCACAATCACAACCTCCAGCACAACCTCCAGCACAACCTCTAGCACAACCGCCAGCACAACCTCCAGCACAACCTCCAGCCACAACCTCCAGCACAACCTCCATCACACCCTCCAGCACCTCCAGCACAACCTCCAGCACTACCTCCAGCACGACCTCCAGCACAACCTCCAGCACAACCTCCCTCACAACCTCCAGCACAACCTCTAGCACAACCTCCAGCACAACAACCGCCAGCACAGCACAATCGCAACCTCCAGCAACAACCTCCAGCACAACATCCAGCACAACCTCCAGCACAACCTCCCGCACAACCTCCAGCACAACCTCCAGCACAACCTCCCTCACAACCTCCAGCACAACCTCTAGCACAACCTCCAGCACAACCTCCAGCACAACCTCCAGCATAACCTCCAGCACAACTTCCAGCACAACCTCCAGCACGACCTCCAGCACAACCTCCAGCACAACCTCCAGCACAACTTCCAGCGCAACCTGCAGCACAACCTCCAGCACGACCTCCAGCACTACCTCCAGCACAACCTCCAGACTCTAAACTGGCCCTCTCTAGGGGTTGTGCCTTAGGTGTTGTGCTTTCTTTACGTTAGATTTGCTTTCGCTATTTGATGTTTTTGCTCGTTGTTTTTTTTTTTTTTTACAGGTTATCTGTCGTGTTAGTTTTTGGGGGGTTTGTTTGGGGTTACTTTTTTTTTATTGGTTTGGGGGTGATGATTTTTTTCGTTGGGGGTGGTATTTGTTCTTTTTTTTTTGAGTTTGGGGTTTCTGTTCTTGGGGGTCTATTCTTTTTTGGTTTTGGGGTTTTATGGGGGGTTTTTTGGGGGGGTTGTGCCGGGGGGCTGTGCTGGGAGTTGTGCTGGAGGGTTGTGCTGGGGGGTTGTGCTGGGGGCTGTGCTGGGGGGGGTTGTGCCAGGGGGTTGTGCTGGGGGGGGTTGTGCCAAGGGGTGGTGCCAGGGGGTTGTGCCCGGGGGTTGTGCTGGGGGGTTGTGCTGGGGGGTCGTGCTGGGAGGGGGGGTGGTATGTGCTGGGGGGTTGTGCTGGGGGGGTTGTGCTGAGGAGTTGTGATAGGGGGGGGGGGTTATGCTTGGGGTTTGTGCTGGGTAATTGCGCCGGAGGTTTGTGTTGGGGGTAGTGCTGGGTGTGTGTGCTGGGGGATTTTGCGGAGGGGGGCTGTGCGAAGGGGGGTTGTGCTGGGGGTCGTGCTGTGCGAGTGTGTGCTGGGGGGTTGTGCTGGGATCTCCACCTAAATCGTCACTCGCTCCCTCGCGGATTAAATCTTTATCTAGATCTCCGCCTAAATTGTTACTCGCTTTCTCGCTGCTTAAACCGTCACTTGACTCGTCGTCGTCGTCGTCGTTGTTCCTTGGCGCTCGCTCGTTTAGTTTTTTCCGTTTTGTTGGTAGCCCGCGGCCGTGCCACCGGTTGCTCGGGGGCCGCTGTTTTGTTCACCCGCTGTTTTGTTCCAGAACGGCCCGCGCGACGCCGGCCGGCGTTTTCGCTAAAACTTCGTTTTTAAACGAAAGCGAAGCGTGAACAGAAAATTTTGTTCAGGTTGAGCCCTGTGCGAAACTGTCGCCACTTTCGTGGGCTCCTGGGAGCCCCAGTGGAGGTGCGTCTTACGCAGATCACCATGCGACCTCGCCGTTCTTTGGGGGAAGCGATCTGCGAAGCCGTCGCCACTTTCGGGGGAGTCCTGGGAGTCCCAGCGGAGGTGCGTCTTACGCAGATCACCATTCGACTTCCCCTGGGGGGCTGCGCTCTGCGAAACTGTCGCCAGTTTCGTGGGCTCCGGGGAGGCCCAGCGGAGGTGCGTCTTACGCAGATCACCATGAGACCTCGCCGTCCCCTGGGGGGCTGGGTTGCGACGTTGGGGGGTCCAGCGGCGCTGCTCCCACGAATTATGTCTCCAATCATCTCTCCTTATTGTGTTTCCACATTCCCTCATGGCCGCCTTCCTGCCAACGATATGACTCTTAAGAGTGACGCCGCATATGTGAACATGTGACTTTGGCCCGACGTTCCTCGGTGAATCATTAAGGGCACGGCGGATCCTTCAGTGCTCGCTTTTGTATTGAGCGTTCCGATGCATGGTCGCCTCACGTGTGCAAAGGGTTGGGAACGTCCCAGGGTAATTTCGGGGCGCTTCCGTGACGGGCCCGCTCTTGGGGGGCCGCCGAACAGCCCCCAGAGCGATCAGACAGCCATCCCGACGGCCCAAGACTGCCTCGAGCTATCCGTAGCCAAGTTGGCTCAAGTACCCACACTCTTGCGAGCTCACGTTTGCGAGCGCTCCACACCCTTTCCGTACGCGCTTTTTATAGCCCATGTCGGCTGTAAAATCCTCCGTCGCAGCGGCCATTCGATTCGTTCTGTCAGTTCACGGTTTGATCGTCGTGACGGGTCGCATGGCCTCCGATGTGCAGTTGATCCAGGCACGCGTCGTGGACCAGCACAGCCCAAGCTTGCCACCAGACATAATATTTGGAGGACAAGGCAGTGGCACCAAGCGCGCCGATGTCGTCGGGTGTGTCGACGACGATGAGGGCGCCGTCAGATTTGCAAATCATTACGCCCGGTCAAACGATGTCGGCGGTTGCGCGGATGTCGGCCCGCATTGTGAGAAAGGGAATTTCACCAGCAAGCTTCACGAGCTGTGTTGCGCTACGTGCAGTGACGTCGTGAAGGAAAATCCGCATCTGCACAAGTGCACAGACCATTCCTCGTGTTGGAGCGGGGCGTTCTGTTACGATGGCGTGTGCGACAGCTGCAGCCACTGCGAATTCTGCTCCGATGCGGCGTACGCAGACGAGCGTGGGCATTGTGGGCCAGGGTTTCCTACGCAGGAGTCAGAACCTTGTCATTCACAGGTTACCTATGGACCACTCTATGTCGTGCATGCGTGGGCCAACCTGTCCTCTGAGGAGGAGCTGGTGCATCTTGAAAAGATGTTTGGCGACCTCGACAAGGACGCATCCTCGACCCTCGACGTGGACGAGCTCATCGGCACTTTGATTGGACAGGACCTCGTCGCGCTCGAGGCCGCCATGGGCACGCTGCACGTCGACCTGGACAGCGTGAAGCTTCCCAGGGGCTCGGTGCAGGAATTTGTGGAGAAGCACAGCAAGACTGGCTCCGCGTTCCTGACCCTCGGCGAGTGGCTCGGCGCGAGGGTGCCGCCGGCATCTGATGGCCGGGCCGTCGCGCCGGTCGCGACGAGCAGCTCGTGTTCTTTGTCGACGATCGTCTCTGTTTCAAGCACATGCACCGTCTCGCAGGCCGCGGAGACCTGCGGGTCCGTATGCGCCAACGCCTGCAACTCCTGCCGGAGGGTGGCAGCGCACCCGAACTCGAGCTCCGTGGCGCGGGCGCCTCAGGAGCTCGAGAAGTGGTGGTGGTATTATTATTACGACGACACGCGCCGTAGGCGTCGTTGGGTTGACGTCATCACAGATGTTGTAGATGATGTTGTCTGCACAGTGTCTTGTACATAGGAATGTGCGTGGACTTGCACTACTCAATTTGTAGATGTAGTGGTCGACTGCGTTGTCGATACGGTTGTGAATACGGTAATGGCATTTGGAGATTGTGTGTCAGTTGTGGTTGATAACGTCATGGAATCATGCGGTCATGAATTGATCCCCACAGAATGTTCTGGCACGTGGGATTGCTTTACGCAGGCCGCGAGTAGCGCTCTCGACTTCTTCATTTGCGGATTCCCGATTATTCTCGATTCAGTATTGACAATGTATGGGGCCAACTGTCTTCCAAACGTCGTAGACGGCATAAAGGACGCCCTGTTCCCTCCCGAAATTATTGTTCAAACTGCAGTTGTGGAGGCAATCATGGATTTCGGTGACGCGGTTTACGATGGGATCTATGAAGCAAGTCTAACGGTGGCGTCGACCCTAGATTGGTGTTGGGACGACGCTCCCTCTGCCGAGTTCACTGACTGCGACGCCTTCGAAATGGTAGCAAGTATTGTTTCGTGGGACGTGACTGACATTTTCGGGATGGCGTCCAGATTCTCGGATGCCGTGACGGCGGTGAATGACTGCTTAGGGAAGACTACAAGTCTCCCAGGGATTGGTGACATTCCGACCCCCTTCCTGAACGTTGTTTGGCAAGGAGGCGTTCCGTGGTGTGCCCCAACATACGTAGTAAGTACGGCGAGTGCAGTCGTCGGTGCGTTCCAGTACATAACAGGAGGACGGATGCTTGATGACCTCATCATTGTGGGCGATAGCCTCTTGACTAAACTCCAGCAGAGGCTGGAGGCAGTGTTCTGTGACGGCGGCGACGTCACCATAAACTTGGGAGCCGAACTCTCGATGTCGTACTTTGTGCTTGGAATCACGGTTGCGGCTGGATGTGAGAAAGGCCATTTCAACGCTCATGTAATCGGCTATGCCACGGGCAGAATTCCGATCCTCTCGACGCCGTTTAATCCAGTGCCCATGGTCGATGGAGTGTTCAGCATTAAGTGTGACAAGGGGCCGAATCCTACGAGCTGGTCGTATTGGGGGTCTGCTCTTGGCGCCATGCTTTCGCTTGGCCCTTTCAAGGCTGCCGTGTCTCTGCCGCTCTGGCCAGAATTCAGTCTCCAGCTTGGCTACACTTTCAAGGTGACCCTGATTCCCCTGACGGTGCGTCGAGCCCAAACAGCAGCCACCGAGCCAGAGCTGGAGGGGCCGAAGTCGGTGCTGCCCGTGCTAAAGTCTCTGTCCAGGGCCGTCTCCGACCCCGGCTTCGGGAGCGAGCTGCCAGACGTCAAGCCTATCCTGGACGGGGTCCGCAACGGATCGCTCCAGAGGGCCGAGCTCGACTGGGACCTCGGCGCCAGGATCTTCATCACCGTAACCAAGAACTTCTGTTTCACGTGCGACGATTGGGGGGAGGAGCCTGCTTGGGTCACGGGCCTCGTCGGCATGGCCACCCCGTACATATGCCAAATGAGTGGGGCGATGGCGGGATCCTCCTGGGGTGCGCTGACTCGCGCCCAGTGTTTCGCCGCGGTGGCAGCTTGGGAGCAGAGCGGCAACTCTTGCGAGATTTTGTATACCGACGCGCCACACGACGGCAGCTTGGGAACCGCGTGTGCTTGCATGCCTGACGACGCGATGACGTCGGGGGTCTGTTCTGAACAGGCTGGAGCCAGGGCCAGTGAGGGGTCGTCCAACTTCCAGGTCTTCCGGAATCAGAGATACACCTGTGAGACTGGGAGCGGAATCGCGTGCAAGAGCTGCGTCTCGCCGCAATCGCGATTGGCGCAAGACCATTGCGAGACCCGCAACGATGGCTTTCAGCTGGCCGGCTACTCGTGTACGCCGGCCGGTCCGACGCCCAGCCCGACGCCAAGTCCGCCGACGCTCAGCCCGACGCCCAGCCCGACGCTCGGCCCGACGCCCCGCCCGACGCACAGCACCCCATCTGGTCGGCCTGGTGCCTGGTCGCAGGCCGTGTGCAAGGCTTTCGGCGATAATGGGAACTCAGGGCCCATGTTCCTGGCGCCATCTGTGACGCCCGCGGGCGTGACCGGAATGCAATGGTTTCGTCAGCCGAACAACAATGCCAATGCAACTTGCGGATGCATTGTCCGCAGCGTCGACGGCGGCGTGGGAGGTTTCTGGACATCTGCGCTTTGGTGCTCGACCGAGTGTTCGGCTGGATCCGATACCAGCTTCGGCCCCACGACCCCGGAGTCGCCAACGAACATCGGTGAACTATGGTATGTGACGCATGGATGCCCCAGCAATGGTCACACTGAGGTCTGCGTGCGCGCCAGATACTTCCTCCAGACGCCCAGCCCGACGCCGTGCCCGCCCGACCCGTCTGGTGGATGCCAGAAGTGGGACTTGAGTGGCTGGTATGACGGTGCGTATAATACGGTGCTGCAGCCATGGAGGTCGCCGAATGGGAATGCCTGGACGTGGGCTCAGTGCGCAGCGGAATGCGCTATGTCTGCTACGTGCGAGTTCTGGGCGCTGCAACTCAATGGTAACCAGAAAGGCCTGTCAATGTCTAACATTGGCGACTATAGGGGCGCGGGGGGCCATTATTCAGGCGTGAAGATGACGGGCTGCGCGCCCGGCCAGCCAGACGCCCCGCCCGACGCCGCGCACGCCGCGCCGCCCGGCGCCTACCCGATGTCGAGCCCGACGCCCACCCCAGCGCCAAGTCCGCCGACGCCAGGCCCGACGCCAAGTCCGCCGACGCTTAGCCCGACGACAAGCCCGACGCCCAGCCCGACGTTAAGCCCGACGACGCCCAGCCCGACGCCTAGTCCGCCGACGACAAGCTCGACGCCCAGCCCGACGTTAAGCCAGACGACGGCCAGCCCGACGCCCGGCCCGACGCCCAGCTCGACACCCAGCCCGACGACGCCATGCCCGACGCCAATGCCGACGCCCACTGTCAAGCGAGACATACGGGTCGAGTATACCTCGGATGAAACTCTTCCAGCTGGCGTGACTGCGTCAGACCTCGTGGCTTCTACTGTCTATAAAGCGGCTAAGACATACGGCTTTCGTAAGGCTCTATCTATGCCCAACTCTGTCGACGCTGCCATTCTTGGGTTCGCCTTGGTTGGTCGTCGGATTCCCACGGATGCCCGCCAGCGGTCGAGCGTAACAGTCTCTGTGAAGACCGCAATCAAGGTGACCGCCCCCGACATCAGCATTGCCGCCATCTTCTCCACCGAGATTGGTGAAACTTCTACCGCCATCGCAGCCGAGACTGAGAGTGCAATGGCTGCTGCTGACTGGAGCAGTGAACCGGTATGGACTTCGGCCTTACGGTGACGTCCCTCGTCGTGACCGCTGCCGCTGCGACTGCGGCGCCAGAAGGCGCTGCTGTCGCGGCCACAGGTGGCCCGCGCCTGCAGAACATCTTCGGGCAGCGCTCCGACCTGATGAGGGCTGGCAGGCATGCCCTGATCCAGATCCCGAGGGGCGCGGGCAGTGAGGGCACCCTGCTTCGCGTCGAGGCGGAAGCGCAGAGTCTCGGGACACATTGCAGTGAGATGTATTTCCAAGAGGTGAGCCTTACTGGCAAATGGGTAGAAAGGAAGCATCTCGGTGGCCTCCAGTTCCGCGCGGCGGACGACGTCACCGAGACGCCCAAGTGGTTGCGTTTTGGGAGCTTTGACTTGAAACTCGTGCACGGACGTGCGCTGACCGGCGTCAGGTTCTTCATTCTGCACGTGAAACGATTGGGGGGGCACAGGAATGAGTGTCGGAGGTTTGCTGGGCATGGGCGATCACAGCCAGGAATCAACTCCGTCCACAGGCTGCATCCGAGAACTGACTCTGGCGAGGTCGTCTAGCTCGCCTAATGCACGTGACGTTCCCGTCGCGGCCGCTGTCCAGGATTAGAATCCTGATCGCCGACCGGGGGGGCGCATCGACTCCCGTCCTCCTCTTCTCCTTCTGGGGCCGCCTGGTTCGGCAGCGAATGCTGCCCCCGAGAACTCTGCGCAAGGCAGCCGCGCAGTTGCAAGCCCGCTTCCCTCCAAAGAAAGCCTCTTTCCTCAAAATTGAAAGGGCGTGCAAGGCGTGATCGGTTTATAGACTTCGTGAGGCCACGACTTGACAGCGTCCTCCGAGTCACCAGATGACGGCCCCGTCGCGGCCGCTGCGTAGGATGAGGCTCGGATCAAGTTCGTTCATCCTCATGCGAAGGTGGTTCTTCTCCCAACTGATCCTTGAATTGGCGCGAAAGTTCTGATCACCGTTTTGAGGGACATATTGAATCTCGTCCTCCTTTTCTCCTTCTGGGGCCGCTTGGTTCGGCAGCGCAAGCTGCCCCCGTGAACTTTGCGCGAGGCTGATCTGCAGTCGCAAGCCCACCCGAGCTACCCCCCAAAAAGCCCCCAGGGGGCTCCGACGGCCGAAGAAGCTTTCCAAACTGCCCAAGAGGCCCCCAAGAAGGTTCCAAGAGGACCCCGGTGTGTGCCCAGAGAGGCGAACATTCATGATCGTCCATGAGTTTTTGAACGGCTTGCGCGCGCAAGCCTTCTCGGGCTTCGAACGCTCCAAGCTCCAAGACGGCTCAAGAGTCTTGAAGAGGCGCCCCAGACCGCCCCAAGACTGCCCGAAAGGCCCCCGAGAAACCCTTCGGAGGCCTCGATGGGAGCCCCAAGACAACTCGAGAGGACCCCAGACGGCCGAAGAGACCCCCCATGACGGCCCAACGGAGGCCCCAGAGCGGCCCCATGCGGGGCCCAAGAGGGGGAACACAACCCCACAATTCCAGCCTTACGCCCTCACAGGCCCCCAGGAAACCCTAAGAGGCCCCGAAGAGGCGCCATGAGGCCGCCAAGAGGCCTTCCAGTGGCCCCAAGAGGCCCCCACGAGGCCCGAAAGAGGCTTCCAGAGGCTTCCAACAAGGTGCCAACGAACACCCCACAGGCCTCTGAAACACAGCCCCGGCAACTTGGCAGGATGGTCCGAACCGTGCGCAGCGTCCTGAGTGTGTTCTGTCTGGTCTCTTATGAGGGGACTGATGAAGACGACGGCGACACCGATAGTGAGGACCACGTTGCAGATGATGATGATGACGCTGCTGCTGCTGATGATGATGATGATGACGATGATGATGATGATGATGGTGGTAGTGGTGGTGATGATGATGATGGTAGTGATGAGGATGAGGATGAGGATGAGGATGATGATGATGACGATGATGATGATGACGATGACGAAGTTGAAGCCGAACGAATCCCCCAAAAGGGGCGGGATCGAAGACATAATGGGCGGGTGTCGAGGGCGCGGGGAACTCGTTTTGAATGATACACGGGCAAGTCAGAGCGACCAGTCTTAGAATGAATGTTGTTGTTGGTGGTGTGGTTGTTGTTGTTGTTTGGGGTGTCATGTTGCTGTTGTGATTATCGATGTTGTTGCTGGTTTGTTGTTCGTGGTGTTGTTGATGTTGTTGTTGATTTTTTGGTGAGGTTGTGGTTGCGGTTGTGGTTGTGGTTGTGGTTGTGGTTGTGGGTGTGATTGTTGTGGTCGTTGGTGGTGAAGCTGTTCTTGTTATTGCTGGTGCTGGTGTCGTAATAATAGGCACATGCCCACGATAATAATGTACTCCCCCCACCCCCTATACACATAAGAGTTGATTATTCACGGCCACTCAGAGTTTGGTCGGGGGCGCGGGGGCGCGGAGGCCGAACTTCATTATCACCGTGAAAAGTTCGCCATCGAGGTTATTTCCCTTTTTTATGTTGGGATAGCAACATCAAGCGAAGCGAACACGCTTTTTCAGGATGTCTCAAGCGAAACCAACAATTTTGGGAGGCAGTCTCAAACGAAACGATCAATGGTTCAAGGATGGCTCAAGCGGCACCAGCAATTCTTCGAGGATGTCTCAAGCGAAACGAAGAACGCGTCGATGATGTCTCAAGCGGAACAAGCATATACTCGAGGATGCGTCAAGCGAAACAAGCATACACTGAAGGGCGTCTCAAGCGAAACCGTACGTTTCTAAAGGATGTCCCAAGCGACACAAGCAATTGCTCGAGGATGTCTCACGCGAAACGAGAGATTGGCCGAGGAAGTATCAAGCGAAACGAGAGATTTGTTCGAGGATGTCTCAAGCGAAACGAGAAGTTGCTCGAGGATGTCCCCAGCGAGATGAGAGACTTGTGGATGATGTCTGATGCGAAACGAGAGGTTTGTTCGAGGATGTCTCAAGCGAAACGAGCGCGTTTTCGAGGATGTATCCAGCGAGACGAGCAATTATCTTGCTCCCGCCCGCAACCGTTTTGGCTCGAGCGTTTCAAGCTTTCCCGGCTTTCGAGTCTTTCGAGCTTTCGAGCTTCAGCTCCCCTGCCATGGCGGCGCCCCGCGCCTCGAGCCCCCCTGCTCGCCGAGGGCAACCAAGTCATCGAGCTTCTGACGGAGAACAACAAGACTTTGGAGCAAGTGGCCAAGCTGCTCGAGCAGCAGAACAAGACAACCGAGATGCAGAACAAGACAATCGAGTACATCGCCGCGCCGAGAAGGCTGGTTGCGCCGAGATGAGGCAGCGCCAATCGAGCGGCGAGGCTACCGACGCTTCGATGATGACGAGCGCTTACTGCCGAGGCGGCTCCGCCCTGTGGCACAAGAACATCAGGGACGCCGCCCTCGCGATCATCATCAAGACGGGGAGCCTCAAGGGCATCAAGTACGAGGGCATCTTCCACGGCAAGGACGAGCGGCGAGGCGAGCTGCTCTGTGCGATCTTTTACAAGACGCACGTCGAGCAGAGCGCCGAGATGCTCGACGGTTTCGACGACCAGGACACGAGCGTCGAGAAGTTGTTCAGCATTTTGCCGAGCTCCCGAGCGGCGTTGCTCGACGAGGCCAAAACGCATGACGCACTTCTCGGCGATAAGGCCGAGAAGATGCCCGAGGGAGCCGCGACCGAGGTTGTCCAGCAGGTCCTCGGCGAGATCCTTCAAGATCTGCTCGCGCTGCGCGAGGTGATGCCCCCAGCGGGCAAGCAATTCAAACCGCTCTTGCCGAGCGGCGCGAAAGGCTCGAAATTATTCGCGTTTCGCGCTTCGCGAGCCCCTCGTCTTGTCCCGGGGAGGCGGGGGGCGCAAAAGCGCGAAGTTATTAACCCTTCGCGCAGCGCGAAGCGCGAAGCTAGGAGCCCTTGATTTACGCAGGATCCTTGCCCTGGGGGCGCGGACGCAGCGCACTTTGCGCGCGATCTTGGCCCCGGGGGCGCAGTCGGCGCTGACTAGTAGGTCGACCCTGCCAAATCAAGAGTACCCTTGCGCCCTGTGCCTCTCGACCCATGCCTCCTACATTCCTATGGCAGCGTGACCCTCGGAAGGATTTTGTGCCCTGTCGCGTGTCCTGTCCAATCGAGTCCGACTGCGACGATGGATCGCGGCCCTGGGAGCGCGGGCGCGGCCGCAATGCACGGGGGGCTCTGGCGCCCCAGGAGCGCGGGCGCAGAGAGTATCGCACGAGGCATCGTACACCCCGAGGGGGCACGGGCGCAGCGTGAACGTTGCGAGGGGCCGCGGCCCTGCAAGCGCGGACGCGGCGCAGTGCGCAGTGCATCGTGGCCTTTTGGAAGCGCGGGCGCAGCGCGCAGTCGGCCTTGATTAGTGGGTCGACCCTGCCAGCTCAAGGGTACCCTCGCGCCCTGTGCCTCGCGACCCATGCCTCCTGCACTCCTGTGGCAGCGTGCCCCTCGGGAAGGGTCCTTTGACCTCTCGCGTGTCATCTCCAATCAAGGCCGACTGTAATCTGCGAGGGATCGTGGCCCTTCGATCGCGGACAAGGCGTCATTTGCGAGGGTTCGTTGCTCCGAAACCAGCGCAGAGTTTCCAGGAAACGGCGGAGGGGGGAACGATCCCCAAATACAACTCCCAATGCAGCAAAATATAGCTGTTCTAGTGTGGAAAGGGGGTGCGGCAACCTCCCGCGGGGTAGCTTTGTGTGTCTGCGGCTGCGCGAGCCCTGCGTAATTTAGATAAGGATCGTGGCCCTTGGGGCCCTGCCCCAGCTTAGTGTGCAGAGGATCGTGTCCCTGGGAGCGCGAATTCAGCGTAATTTGCAAGGACCCTGGTCCTGGGAGCGCCGGCGCAGTGTAATTTACAAGGGGTCGTGGCCTTGGCAGCGCGGACACAGGGTAACGTACAAGGAATCCTGGCCGTGGGAGGGCGGACGCAGTGTAATTTACCCAGGGCCTTGCGTCCCCTCGTGCGTTCTTCGGGACGTCCCCTTGTGCGTCATTTGGGACGGCCCCATGGCGCGCGCCTTGGCACGTTCCGTGGCAGGTCCCCGACACGTCCACGCCT